GCAGACAAGTGACTGAGGGGATATTTTTGTGCCTCTTGATGATAAGTTCTTGCTAAACTTGGCTCAGTGAAGGGATCATAATGAAGAACTCTTTTCAGCAGCCTAGGTGACAACTAATTCACATCCACTGCTTTCATATATTCTAGATTTTCCTGATTTTGTATCTATAAACCACTGAAATGTTTTGAAAATTTTCGTAAAGTCAGATTCAGCTACATATTGAAGGATTTCAGGCACATTAGGCGTTCACTAAATGTTTGTTAAATAAATGAATTGGTAAATGAATACAGCTTACACCTAAAAGTGTCCAAAAAAAGAGAGAGTCTCTGTTGAGATCTTGTATCCTATTTTTTTATGATAAATTCTGCATCCAATAAAATTCTCATTTTTTTACTGAATCACAATAACTAAAAAACTTTAAGACTAGGGGTTCTGGTTTTTTGTTTCATATCAACCTGCATGAAGGCACCCCCTTGATGAGAAGCGGTAACACACAGTGGTGAGAGCTCATCTGAATCGAACTGCCCGCATATAAATCCCGGGCCTGCTGCCCGCTGGTGTGTGAGCCTTGGGCAAATTACTACACCCATTTGTGCCTCAATTTGCTTCTCTGTAAAACGGGGATAATAATAATAGTAGCTACCTCATAGAGTTGTTGTGAGTGTGAAGTGATGTGAACACAATTAGAGAGTTTAGCACACTGGCACATCCTAAATTCCCAATAAATGTCAGCTGTTTCCATTGTTTAAGTGCAGGGATTAAGAAGCAGTGCAGATTTTATTAACACTTGTCTCAGTTTCCTAGGGCTGCCTTTTTACAAAGCACCACAAACCGGGTGTCTTAACACAACAGAAATTCCTTCTCTCACAGTCATGGTTGCTGGAGGTCGAAAATCAAGGTGTTACCATGGCTCGAGGGAGGGTCCTTCCTGCCTCCTTCAGCTTCTGGTGGTCCCAGGTGTTCCTTGGCTTGTGGCAGCATCACTCCGATCTCTGCCTCTTTCTGCACACAGTTTTCTTCTCCGTGTGTCTCTCTGTGTCCTCTCCTCTTCTTATAGGGATGCTGTCATTGGATTTAGGGCCCACCCTAATCTGGTATGACACTGCCTTAACTTAATTACATCTGCAAAGACCTATTGCCAAACAGGGTCACATTCTGAGGTTCCATGTGGACATGATTTGGGAGAGAAGGACCCTATTCAACCCACTATAGCATTCAGTTACAAAATTAAACACAGCAATTGCTGTGGCCACTAGAGGTCTGTTATTTCCCCTCTGGCTTGAAAACACAGAGAAGACACAGAGAGAGTTTTCTTCTAATTATGTTGCTAATTTCTGGTTAGAAATCAAAATGAGGTTGATATAAAATTCTCCAGTGTTTTGGGGTTTACTATCTAAGAAGAAATAGGTCTAATTAGAGAAAACTACCTTTGGCATGGCCAAGAAACCATCCATTTGTCCCCAGTGGAGGTCCCACTGATCCTGGGGATGACAGACTCATAGCTAAGCCTGCATTGTAGGCAGGGTGCTGCCCCACTCGTGGAGGCATCCACAGCCTCAGCCAATGGCTGCCAAGGAATTCTGCCATGGAAAGGAGCCGTCTCAGCTGACTTAAATGGCTCCTGGCTGGTGGACGTTCTGAAAAGATGAGATGCTGTAGACAGATGAGGTGATTGGCTATATGGTCCAGTTATAGGGTTTCTAGGATGCATGCTTTCATGCTCTCTTCAAATCAAGAACTTCTCCCCTGCTAGCAGTCCTATTTAATATCCAAGTAGCCCTGGGAGAGCTAACACCATGATGGTGATCAAATCTTTATGGCTTCATTTGAAAAAAGGCCCTGGGAGTAGTTTCTGAGAAGAGATAAGAGGACAGAAAGGACTTTCTTGTACATGTGTATTTTGCTGGTCGGGCATGGTGACTGTAAGTGCATCATCTACAAAGCAAAAGAGGATCATCAGGAGGGACCTGCTTGAATCCAGCCCTGTCTTCCTGAGCTTAGCGAAGTGGCAGCACAGGGTAATTTGATTTACAAATTCAATCATATATTCAATCAGAAGAAAGAGAAATGGGGAAAGTAGGTAGGGAATGATGAAAGATAGAGGCAGGGACAGAGATCAATGTAGAGATAAAGAGTGTGCTCCTGGGGGAGGGAGAATGAAAGGGAGAGAGGGAAGAAGGGAGGGAGAGAGAAAGGGGGAGGAGAGGGAGGGAGAGGAGAAACAGGAGAGGTTTCAATAGGGTGGGCCTTTAGCCATCATTCCCCCGATGGATGACCTGATACCGCAAGGGGAGAGACCCGGCTGATCTGCCCCTTGGGCTGTCGGTCCTGTGCCTGTCCCACTGTGAGCCTCTCACACGGACGAGTGTTACACGAGGGTCTCAAGGTTTCATTTTCATACTGCTTGGCCCCAACAAGGCAATCCTTCCTCTCCTGAAGGATGATCGCTTCGGAGGCTTGTGAAAAAATGGGATCTGTTAAATGTAGCAAGGGATGGATTTTTCAAGGGTAATTTAATTATATGCAATTTTCACCTGAGATGCTACTCCATTCCAGATCATATGATTACGAGGTATAATGATCTCTGGTTAATAATTAGATATTTTCTAACCAGAGACAGTTGACCCTCAAATCCCTGCAGTAAGAACTCTGCCTCGTAGGACTCCTCTTCCCAAAGAGGAACAAAGGAGGAAGTTAGAGGTAATCCATCATTGCGTAAAGATTCGAAAATGTAGCAAAAAAGAAATGAAACGAAATACTGGTGTTTTCACCCTTCCCTAAAAATAATGATGGTTAATATTTTGGTGTGTCTTCACACAGTTTACTTTGTGTGTGTGTGTTTGATTTTATACAAACAAATCAGGCTGTGCCTGGTATATTGGGACGTGCTTTATTCACTTAGCGAAACAGTGACCGGTTCTCCACACCCACAAGCACAGACCTACACCATCAAAAGAAGGCCCATGAAGCACTTCCATGAGCTCATTCTGTGGCTGCTGCTCTTTCCAGAGGCGGAGCTGTTGGGCTGCAGCCCATCTGAGGGTGTGGTCACAGGTGCCGAGCTCCCTGGGAGGTGGGAGCCACGGCGAAGGGGGCTCCTGGCGGGAGGCCTCAGAGGGCAGATCCCCCAGCCCATCAACGAGCTTGCAGAGGAAGCCTTCCTGGATGGCTGCAGGCTTCTACTCAACCAGCACCACCGTCATTTTCCCCAAGTCAAGAAGATACTTGTCTCGACTCAGAAGAAGGCCTACAAATACTTTCCAAACACATTTTGCAGTTTTTAATTTGAGATTTTTTTGGCTAAAGCTACTAATTGAGTGAAATGTAAACTCACCCTGCTAAACAGATATTAAGAGATTATTTAGGTGTCTTGTGTGTCAACCCTTAGAAGTAATGTCAGAGGGAATGCACGGGCTTCGTGTCACTTTCTCTCTCACACTGGCAAAGCTGAAGGGTATGTACCCTGCCTTTCTGTTCATGATGATTGCCTAGTAACTCCCCGGGGCTTGGTATGAGCCACTGTGTTTAACCTAACTCTCCAAAAATAAGGGGAGCGTGCTTTTCTTTAAATTGGCACTTATGTAGTGGGATCTCTCGAGCGTTAGTGCTTACGTGATGGCATTCAGACATCACTTTGGCAACAGAGTGACTGTGTTAAATTAGCATCAAGTACAATGAATGGTAATTGCAAGACTGCCATTTCTACAAGTGCAAAATTAATGTGCTCTGCTAACCCATCCCATTGTGTGCCACGGGAAAACCGTGGAACCATGCTGTTCTGAGCAGACAAACACACTGTAACAGCACTGTTAATGTGCTATGGTATTATTCAGCAATAGTGTTCCTTTCCACCTTTGTTGTTGTCTCATGCTCATTCTTCAAACCCTGCCCGACCTAATTTGTATTCTCATATTATAGGACTGCCAGACAGTAGCCTGGATGTACAGAGAATGTTATGAAACAATTCCTCCTTCTGTGTGGCATCTTGTGTGAATAATGCCAGCATAAACAACCCTCCATGTATTCATGAGAGTATGAATAGGCTACTTATGTAAAGCCTCTTATTAAAAGATGCACCAACCGTTTACAGAAAACTTTACCCAAATGCTATACATTCATTTAGAAAGAGCAGAGTGATTCACATGCATTTCAATTGTAGCTTAGGAAAAGCGCCAGCTCTGCCTCTCTCCATCCCTCTTGTTTACATATGGGAAATGAAGCCACAGACCAGTTGAGTGAATTTCTTCCGGTCATGCAGGATCACAGAGTATATGCAGAATGACAACATGCATGTGCATTGGGATCTTGCAGTCTGCTCATTGGCTCTGCAGAATTTATTAGGGTCAAAGGACTCATTCAAGACTGAAATACCACAGTAATAACAGATGCTTTAGGCTGACTGGTTAGATGTGGTATCTCAGGATTCCTGCCATTTAGCTGAGGCTGAGAACCACTGACAGTGCATCCTTTGTAAGAGTAATAATAATGATAATGATAATGACAATAACTGGCTCAAGAGCCTTTCTTGTGAGTCCAGTTTGAATCCAGTCTCTTAGCAGCAAGTGGGGTGGGGTGGGGTGGGCATCAAGATCCTGGGCTGCATTGACTGATCCACTGCAGCAATCCGTCAGTCAAGAGAGTACCCTGACCCCCTCAGACTTCCTGAGTGAGAGGTCAGGCCTGGGTCCCCTTTCACAGTCCGCTTACTTTGTCACTCACCGTGAAGGTGTGATGTGGTTATTTGTTTTGTAATTTTCCAGTCAGTGCATACTTTGCTGGAATTTGGGGGAAATTCTGTGCCTTCAAAGCTTCTCTCATCTTAAAAAGCAACAAGGATTAGGGAACGGTTTGGGAGACTTCCTACCGAAGGTAGGAGAAGAATTTTGAACAACTTATCGTCAGAATAAAGTACATTTGCGTACTGCTGAAAAATCATTAAATAGATGATTTGGGCTTAAAAACATGTGCAAAAATGGCTCTGGAAACTGGTGCTGCCTTACCTTTGTTGCAAAAAGTTCCGTCATATGCCGTATTGGAGCAATCACAGGAATAACCATGGTATTTCTCTATGCATTTGCCTCCATTCTCACAGTTGGTCCCATAGCTGGTGCAGTGGCCTGAGCATCCGGATTTGAACCCGGATGTGACCTTTGCTCTTTCCTCCAGGTCCAGTGTCACTCCATTCATCCTCAGGGAGCGGATGCAGCCCAGGAAGCCCTGCTGGCCTCCGGCACCACCTGGGAAGGACAGAAGGCATGGAGCTCAGATGGAATAACCTCTGCTTTGGCTTCTGTGCCCTTTCATCATACATTGAAAAACTGTGGTAGGAGGTGAGCCTGCTCAGTGCAGCCAGATTCTCACTTTCAAGTTGGTCCTGCCTAGTAGAAAAACTTGAAGCTTTTCCCCCTTGGCTATAATGCCTAATTAAAAGAGGCTGTCTTCTGAGAAGCAATAAATTTCCTACAGAAATAAAATGTTTGAAGATACACAAAAATTATATAAGCCGTTTTAGAAGTCTAATCTAGTTTCCTATAGAAAAGAAGTTTATAGAAATCTCTAGGTGCTTTGTTCTTTAATCTCACGGCATTTAGTTCCATAGCATTATCTATTGAAAGAAATAGAAAAAGGCAGAGAGACATGAATATATTAGCATAGTTAACAAGTCAATTAGTCAGAAGGCATAAATCCATTTGAAGTGATTGTAAGTCCTGGTTCTTGTCTCAGGAAACACTTTGCTTTGAAGTTCACGTTAAGGGTTCCCAGGGCTTCTCGTCTGGGATGGTTGGAATGGGAATTGATAATTTTACTCACAAGTCAGCCACGCCACATTTATTTCCATTCAGGTTAGACTTCACTGCTTCTGCCTAAATGACCTTGCAAGACAGATAGCGTGAAGATCAAGTTCACTGTGATTTTGGGAGTAAGTTACAGAGTTTGACGGAGATTCATGAGCACGGACATATGAAAATCTTCCTAACTAATTTCATAGAAGGATTCATTGGAGCATTATATCACAAATGGACTTAATTGTGTCTGTCATAACCTTAGCTGTGATTTTTTTTAAGCAGCTGGTACAAAAGGAGGAACTCAAGTTTATGTACATGTCTGTATCTTAGAGGAGCAACTTCTCTGGAAATTAAATAAACTGAATAGTAGTTAAAATTATTAAAAGAATTATCTGATGGGGAATTAGAAAAAAAGATATTGTTAATAAAATAAAAGTTACTCTTTTTTCTTGAGGCATCTGTGGTAGGTGCTTGACTAAGCAACTTACAATTTATTCACCTGATTCTCACAATGCCCTGGCAAGGGAGGCATTATTATCATTATGCCCATTGTACAGATGAGGAAACTGAGGCTTAGAGAGGTTCAGAAGTTTACTCAAGGACTCAGCTCAGGAGTGGCCAAGTTGTGTCAGATTTGTCTTATTCTCAAGCCCATGGTCTTAAACTCTGTTGTGTGTTGACCATCTAACAGAAGAAAAACTTCAGGGTCAGGGCCCCACAGATGTACATGTCTGAGATTTAGGTTTGGAGTCTTTAAAAATGGAGTGGTCTGTAGGCTTGTCGAAGTTTGGGTAAGGTTGGTAGTCCGGAGAGTGATTCTGATCACTTATTCTACTGTCTTGAGAAAAGGTGTACAATCTAGTAGACTCATCAGGCAGGGCTGGTGGATCAAAGGCTTTAGTCCCAAGAATGGATTAGCGTTTGCTTATGCCTATAAATCCTCAGCCGTGAAATGGCAAGTGAATCGCTCTATTGTCTTTATAAACCCAAGCCTTACAGTTCTCTCATTGGATAGTACATGGATTTGAATAATAATTCTCCAGAGATTTTTTTTTTAATAAAATATTTGAATAGAGGATTAATTGAAGGGAGTCCAATGCCTTTTTTTGATCAAAGCTATGGGATAGTAGATGGCAAAAGAAGTTATTAAAAACAAACACTTTGAAGAAGTTCCCATTTTGCAATCTGCTTGTCAGCTCAGCCTCACAGCTCTGCGCCGAAGAGAATTTGGGCCTTTGCTATGATTTGGAAGAATGTCAATCCATACGTCACTTGGTGTGTTAAAATTTCAATTTGGCTTCTATCATTTTAGTAACCATGGCTTTTGTTCTTTCAATAAGGGCTTTTCATTTAAATTTAAATTTAATTTAATAAATAGCCATTTAAATTTTCACCACTAGTCAATTAAGTCAATAATATCCTATCAAAATCTGCTGAAAATTTTAAATCATTGTTTTTAGGTATCTCCGTCACCTTTTCCCTGAATACAAATGTCATAGTTTTTCACTGTGGAAACCGTAATCATACTGATAAGCACAATGCAAAAGAATCTGAAATGTTACTCAGATATAACTACTTTCACTTTAGAAAATAGCCTTTTCTACTTTTATCTAAGAAGATACATATGTGTAAAAAAATAAAACAAAGGAAGAAATGGGATCATGATACACACATTGTTTTGAAATTTGTTTTTTTGCACTTAACATATCATAAAACATTTTCCAAGCAATAAATGTACAACTGGAACATCTTGTTTAACATCTGCATAGCATCCCATTCTGGAAGGCATATCACTTATTTTGCCATCTCACTACCACTGGACTTTGAAGGGTACTCCAATTCTCATTTTATATGATACTGTAATAAATATCCTTGTAAACACCTTTGTACACCTGTCCAGTTTTTCCTCAGAATTAATTCTTAGAAGTATAATTGCTGGGTACAAAGGCATAGACATTTTAAAGGCACTTGAAATATATTTCCCTATAAGAAGAATTTTATCAATTTGTATTTCACCAGTAGGGTGTGAGACCCCCACCTTCTCCACACCAATGCTAATACTGGACAGGATCCTTTTGAATTTATAGTCTGGGGGGAAAAGATCATTATGTTAATCTGTGTTGTTTCAAATACTGTTAGTTGAGTAACTTTCCCCCATTCTTAGTTTTTGTTTCTTCATGTTCTTTGCTTTTTGGGGGGAATAGGAGAGGATAAATATTTATTGATTGAGAACAATATATTGGGCTTTTGCTCTTTGTTATAAATTTGGGAACTACATCCTTCCAGTTTGTGTCTGTTAACTTGTATATGATGTTTCTTTTTCCCTATGAAAGTTTTGGATGTTTCTGTAGTGACATCCATGTATCTTATTGTATGATTTATGCCTTCTGTATCAGGATTATACAGCCCTTCTCTAATCCAAAATAATATAATTACTCCACTGGATTTTCTTCTAGCACTTTTATGATTTTACTTCTCTTAACATTTTAATCTATTATCTATCTGGAAGGCATTTTATTTCGGAAATCATTCCTATTTAATGGGTCTCAGCAAGAGCTGAGTGTGAAGAAGAGATTTTTAAAAATTCTTTAAGTAAGTGTTAATATGATAAAAATATGGAGATTTAAAAAGGGCTTATTGTAACTTGTTATGCAGCAACAGATAACTAGTACAGGGAACATTAACCTAAAAAAATAAAAATACACAAAAAGGGACTAATTGGCAGAGCAAATAAATCTACATTACAGCATCTTTTTATTACACCATTAAAGTAGGCGTTTAGATGTATGTACGTTTACAGGTCTCATTTCAATAAGGGGTTTAAGGGGTCAGATTTTCTGTCTGTCTGTCTCTCTGTCTTTGATTCTTTCTGGTTTGGGGTCTTTCTGAGCTTCCACGTCTATCAGTCTTTCTTCTTGCCTACATCTCTCTCTCTATCACGACTATTGACTGTTTTGGGTTAGTTGTGCAGCTTTCATCACATCCGTTAATCTCTCTCAGCATCAGTTTTTCCTATCCATAAAAAAGAAGATTGAACTAGATGATGTCTCTGGTTCTTTCCAGCTCTAAATTACTCTGGTCCATGAGGTACAACCCTCTGTGCTTACATGTCTCCCTCTCTATATTTTAGTAAATTGCTCTCAATTTCTCCTAAAGTTCCTTTTCCTTCTTTACACTGTTGCCTGACCTCCTTTTTCCTTCTTCTCTTAATTGACCATAATAACACATGACTGTAGTCTAATTTGCGTTTGTTGCATTCATTAAGTAAAGTTTTGTACTCCCCCTTCTTAATTTATAAACCAGGTAAGTGGAATGCCATTTCTCTCTCTATAAAGGAAAACTAAATAAATTATGCTCTTTTCTTACTTAGATGGCCCCTGATTTATTAAATGGGTCAGTGAGCTGAAAAGTACTGTTACTGATCTAGTCGATATAAAGAAAAATCTTTTGTCCTGAAAATGGTCATTATATCTCATGCAAAAGATGTTAATGCGCTAGAACTAGTGATAATTATTTGAGTTCAACTTTCGTGCTCTATAGAAATCTTTCTTGGTGACAAACGTCATAGGTTTAAAATGTAGGTCTGCAAGCAAAAATGCTACTTAACCTTCGTTAATTAGAAAATCAACACATTGTCATTGGAGAGAGCCCCCTGCCATGCGAGGGCTTCATGCATTTTAGTCAGACCTGTAATAATTATCCAAGGTGAGATGTAAGTTTAATTTGTGAATCATTTTTCATGTGAAATGCTATTCAAGTATTGCAATTAAAGATTAATTATGAAAAGGCTGTAACTACCCATAATGAATAATACAACCATCAAATGCACAGAAGACTGGGGCAAAATAACCAGGTACTAAATTAAAGAGAGGATGAAAACAATGATCGAGAGGAATTAGAAACAATACATTGTCCTCAGACTCAGAGCTTAACAATTTCCTAAGGAGCTAAGTTAGGTTCCAGAGGACCTTTGCCCAGAGTGATTGGCCACTCATTCGTCTTAGAAAGGAATCACATCAAAGCCCAAGCACATGAAACCCAATTTATCCATTCCCTAAATGTTTATTTCATGCCTACTATGAGCCAGGCTTTGTCTAGATGTTTAGAAGGTGCTCTGAAGCAAAACACACGCAAGTCTTTGCCCTTGCAGAGCTTGTATTCTTACAGAGGGAGAGGGAAATTTAACAATAAATTCAATAAGTAAGTCAAGTGTTCATGTGTTAGAAGGTGATGTCCACCATGGAAAACAGTCAGACAGGGTAAGTGGGATCAGGAAGGAATAGGAGTGGAGTCGGGAAGGTTATGATGGTAAATAGGGCCTAGGGTAGACCTCAGTGAGAAAGTGACAGAAAGAGTGTCCAGGAGCGTATCCCTTAGAAGAGGGCTCTGGGACAAAGAGGTAAGAGGGTGCTGTCTGGCAGGGCATGTGGGGGAGGTGGGAGGAGAGGGCC